AAAGGAAAGGAAAGGAAAGGAAAGGAAAGGAAAGGAAAGGAAAGGAAGAAGGGGGAAGGAATATTGAACATAGGAAGGAAGGAAGGAAGGAAGGAAGGAAGGAAGGAAGGAAGGAAGGAAGGAAGGAAGGAAGGAAGGAAGGAAGAAGTTAGGTAGGTATGTAGGTAGGTGAGTGGATGGAAGAAAGGAAGGAAAAAAGGGAAGGGAAGGGGAACAAGAATGAAAGGTGGTAGAAGGAAGGAAGGAAGGAAGGAAGGAAGGAAGGAAGGAAGGAAGGAAGGAAGGAAGGAAGGGGAAGAGAGAGAGAGGAAAGAAGGAAAGGAAGAAGGGGAAGGGGAAGAGAAGAAGATAAGAGCATTTCCAGAACTGACCAGGATATAAATTGCAGAAACAAATATATAAATGATAGAACTTCTCCTAAAAATCTTCTTAAAACACTGTTTCCAACCGTGGCAATTTCAAGACGTGTGAGCGTCCCCAGCTCTCAAAATGGTAGGAAAACGCTGCCTTAAAGCCTCAGCAGAATGAAGTCTAAGTTAAAGTCTATCTCTTGAGCAAAGCAGTTGGAGAGGGAGGGGGCAGCTTTCCACTGGGTACATCCCCCCCCCCAAGGTTAGTGCCAGACCTCTGATATAGAACCTTCTGGATTCAAATTTAGTCTATTTTTAAACCTTCTCTCTCTCTGTTGCTTCCCTGGGAGCGGACCCTCCCAATTGGAGCCAGCTGCTGTTGGGAGCAAGAAAAGGGGAATTATTTGCCAATATTTTTGTTGCTGTTGTTGCCAGACTTTCGTTTTTGTTTTGTTTTAAATCCCACTGTGGGAGATAACAAGGTTTCCTCTACTCCTAGATGAAATTCTGAATTGGTTGCTCCATTGTTCCAAGAGATATCTCAAAAACATTCCGCCACCACCCCCCAGGACAGAGTGGCGACTACAATTTTACAGAAACTTGGAAAAATGTGTGGTGACGAGGCATTGTTAGATACCGCTGGGACATCTGAGGTCTGGTTGCTTTCTAGAAAGGAAAAAGCAAAGGCTCCAGTCCTCATGAGGGCCAAATAGGTACCTTTTTTAAGTCTTAAGGGCTAGACATGGGTGCTAAATAATATTTGCGCAAGTTTTTGTCTGTCGCCTGGATAGAAAACTCTCTGCAACGGAATCAGACCATTCTCAACCAAAACACTTCCAATGGAGAGAAACTTAAAAACGCAAACGTGCTTCAAAACGATGTAGTTTGCAGAACATGGACCTGTGTGTGGGCTGGAGAAAAATATATGCAGTTTTTCATATCTGCAGAGCCTTAACAGAGTTTCCACAGAGATAAATCACAGAGGTTCGCAGCTTTTCAGCTCATAGCAAACATCGTTTGGTCACTTTTCTGCCCGGAGTTTTTTTGTCAAAAAAAATAAAAATAAAATGCAAGCAGGATATAAATAAAAGAAACTATCAAAGAAAAGAGCCGAGTAAAATCACACAATCTGGGGTAGTCCGAGTTCTACTCCCGCCTTTCGGCCCAAAGACGGCTAAGGGTGAACTTGGCCCAGCCAGTGTCTCTCATCCCTAGGAGGCAAAAGCAGTCGGAAATCTTGCAGGGATCTGTCAAGGTCCCCAGCCAAAAATTGATTCAAAGGGACAAAAACACCCCCACACCCACCATAAAACAGATTTCTTGCTTTGCTCGCAAAATTGCTAGTCTTATTTTTATTTTATTTTTGGAGGAACTTGGGCTAATCCAGGAGTCTGGGGAGGGTTCTGCATCCGATGCAGAAATGGGGCCACCACCATCTGGGAGTTACATGCTGACTCCGGAGCCTCCAGAATCTGACAGCAGCGAGGTAGAGGAACAGCGGGAGCCTGTTCCCAGTGCGCGCTTGCACAGAGCTGCCAGAAGGCAAGAACAGTTAATAAAAGGGCTGACTTAGAGTAAGGCTTAGAGATGATTGGCCCCTCCCATAAAACATAAAGGAGGAGCCAAGGGACAGGAGCCTTTGCAGGAAGCAACTTCGTTGGTACTGTCGGTTTGAAGCCTGAAGCTCCGCGTTGCATTTGTGCTCCGTTTGGTCTTGTACAACTAATTGGCAATGTAGTCATTGGCAGCATTTCAAGGGAGATAAAGGTGCGTGCTTATCAGACTTATCCTGAAGGACTTCTGTGGGACTATTTATGAAGTGTCCGAGACTCATTATAGGCTGTGAATGACGATAGCTGAAATAAAACAAACGGTTTTGGGGGACTAACGTGTGTTGGTTAGTGTCCCAGGAAGCCTTGGTCAGAACAGTGAGGGGGAGAACAGGAGGGGAGGGGAAGGGAGGAAGGGACACGAGCCAAATTTCAGAAGAAACACCCTTACCTTTTCTAACTCCAGGAGATGAAATCTCAGCACTTGAATAGCCTGGATCATCTACAATTACAAGAAAAAAAAAGGAGAGAGAGAAAAATTGTGGGTTGTGGCTTATTGTGTAAACGTATGTTTTGTTTATTGCCCCGTTGTTTCGCGGGACACAGTGGCTTATCTGGAATGTGTACGGTCAGGCAATGCAACAGGTCAGTGGGATTTTACGGTTTTAACCTGGAGAAATTCACAAGGGAAGTCGTTCAGTGAGTACCATCATGGCCTAATCCTGGATTGGACGGGGAAGCTTAAAATGCCTACAGAGGCCGAAGTGACCTCTGCATCACACAAGCACAGAGAAGGGAACAGCTGTGTTTTGGGCAATTTTGGAAGCTGATCTGAACAGAATAACAGACTTAGAAGGGACCTTGGAGATCTTCTAGTCCAACCCCCTGCTCAAGCCCGTTTCCAGTTCAGACAATCTCCTTTGAAAAACTTCCAGTGTTGGAGCATTTACAACTTCTGGAGGCAAGCAGTTCCACTGGTTAATTGTTCTCACTGTCAGGAAATTCCTCCTTAGTTCTAAGTTGCTTCTCTCCTGGATTAGTTTCCATCCGTTGCTTCTTGTCCTGCCTTCAGGTGCTTTGGAGAATAGCTTGACTCCCTCTTCTTTGGGGCACCCCCTCAAACATTGGAAGACTGCTGTCATGTCTCCCCAAGTCCTTCTCTTTAATTGGTCATTTTAAATTTGTCTAGACAATCGGGAATTCCAAATCGAGATGTTTTGGAAACCAACCTAGACAGGGTTTCTCCACCTTGACAAGGTGAAGATGGGTGGATTTCAACCAGGGGTGGGATTCTACCGGTTCACACCTATTCGCTAGAACTGGTTGTTAACCTTCTAAGCAGTTCGGAGAACCGGTTGTTAGAAGAAATTACAGGGCTAATCCTGTAAGGAGGGCAGGAAGGAAACATTCTGGTGTTGCTTACAAAAACTGCCTCTCCATTAACCCTTATTACATTCTTGGCAGGACTAGACTTCCTGTCTCAGGAACTTCTCTGGAGTTTTTTTCCCCTCCTTTGCTGGTACTTTGCTTGTGTGGAGTGACCATTCAAAGTTACAATGGCACTGAAAAAAGTGACTTATGACCATTTTTCACTCTAACGACTGTTGCAGCATCCCCACAGTCACGAGAGGCCAGGCGAGGAGAGGCGTGCCTCGATGCGAGTGATGTTGAGTTGGCCACGCCCAGCCGATAACATGACCACCAAGCCACGCCCACCCAGTCACATGACCAACAAGCCACGCCCACCAACTAAGCCACGCCCACAGAACCGGCTGTTGAAAAAGTTGAATCCCACCCCCGACTTCAACTCCCAGAATTCCCCAGCTATTCTTGCAGATGTATGTATAAAGAGGAGCGACTGATTCAGCGGACAGAGAAATGAAAGGAGGATCATTACAAGGGAAAGAGAAATAGAGAACGAAAACAAAGTTTGACCAAGAACAACACTTTGGGGGAAGGTCACTTCTTCGTTTTGGTTTTGTTTTTGTTTTGAAAAGGAAACAAGGAGCATCCTTACCAAATTATCCAGTTCAGGATTGGAAGAAAATAAAGGTTTTTCTGTCCTAACCTAAAAAAAAGGAGACATTGGGGAAGCCGGAGCAGGGATGGAGAAACAGAAGAAAAGAGAAGGAGCGTTAGTAAGGGGGAAAACACAACAGAGGGAAATCTAAGCCGTGCATCGTTGGAAAGAAAGAAAGAAAAAACAACCACCTAAAATAAAACCCGTGTCTCTCATTTCCGAAGAGAGAAAAAAAATAAAATAAACCCCCGCAAAAACGGCAAACGGAGTGACTTTTTTCTCCTCTACAGAATTTCAGCTGGCAAAAAAAATAAATAAAATATCTGCATCTTACTTTCTGAAGTTGTTTCTTTCCTCCTCTGCCCTTTGCTAAAATTCCTCCAAGTTCACACACTCACACACACACAAACAGCCCTGTTCGAAATACCAGGCCGTTTTTTTTTCTCTCTCTCCATCTGTCTCCTTTCAGAAAGGAAAGGAGATTTTTAAAAATCCCTGCGGTGGGGAATCTTACACATCCAAGAAAGTCTTTGCTTTGGGTGAAGGGAGGGTATCAAACTCCCCCACCCCACCCCCCAAAAAAGTCTGAGAGGTGGCTACTTTAAAGAGACCTTCAACAAGGACTCCGGCTTGGCAGATCGAAGAATCAAGAAACATGAAAAAGAATATCTCGTCCAGTTTTTTCTCAACTAGGCCAACTTTAAGATGGGTGGACTTCAACTCCCAGAGGGAGTTGAGGTCCACCCATCTTAAAGTTGGCCAAATTGAGAAACACTCACCTTAACTTACTGCACCTCTGTATGCTTTGCCAATTGCACCGTGGCAGATAGGACAGCGCTCCAGAGGGTTAATGTCATTGCCCAGAGGATCCTAGGTTGTCCTCTTCCCCTCTTTGGAAGAGCTTTATAGCTCCCGCTGCCTTAAGAAAGTTCAAAACATCCTCAAAGATCCATCTCATCCTGGGAACCCTTTTTCTGAACTATTACCATCTGACAGACGGTACAGGACAATAATAAAAACAAGGACAAACAGGCTGAAAAACAGCTTCTATCCCAGGGCAGTAACTCTATTGAATTCTACTGAGTAGTGCAATATTAATGCAATATCAGGGGTTTTCAATTCAATGCACAGAATGCGAAGGAGGTGTGTTTGTGTGCCCTTTTTACACTTATAATGTACATTGAAGGTGGCGTTTAATGCCATCGTACGAGGTGCAATGACAATAAAAATCAAAATGGCGCTATAGAGCCCTGCACACCAGAACAACTAGACACAAGGACAGTTTGTTCCCAAAAGCCATCACTCTGCTAAACAAATAACTCCCTCAACACGGTCCAACTATTTACAAAGTCTGCACTACTATTACTATTAATCTTCTCATCATTCCTTATAGCCCCTCCCCTCCCACTTGGGACTGTATGACTGTAACTTTGTCGCTTGTATCCTTACGATTTATATGGACTGTTTCCTAGTATGATTTGATGGCTTATTGTACCCTATGACTCTTATTAAGTGTCATACCTTATGATTCTTGACTCTGGACGAATGTATCTTTTCTTTTATGCACCCTGAGAGCATTTGCACCAAGACAAATTCCTTGTGTGTCCAATCACACTTGGCCAATAAAAGAATTGTAATTGTAATTCGAATTCTATAACAGGGGTCTCCAAACTTTCTGGCTTTGTGAGCTGGCAGAGGTGGGGATGGAAAGAGAGAGAGGATCGCTCAAGCCGTGTAGTGGGTGAGCATACATACACACACATGCACAGAGAGAGCTCCATTTGCATGAGGTGGAGGGGGGTTGGACTAGATGACCTACAAGGTCCCTTCCAACTCTGATTATCTGTTCACTGAGATGCGGGCAGGTGCACCCGTCCCTTGTGCAAATGGAACTGCGTGTCACCTGTCGCTTCCGTGGCCCAGTTTTGAACAGACCACGGCCCTGGGAATTGGGGAATCCCAGATCTATAAGATCTTATTTCTATTTTCTTTTCTTTTTTTAAAGCACTGCAGGAGGCCAAGAGGCTAAATCTCAGTCTTTGAATTCGCTCCTTCCCTTCTGTAACAACAACAACAAAAAACCCTCACCCAGGTCAGCTGCAAAGAAAGAAAAAAAGAAAGAAAGTTCCACTCTCATTCTCTCTCAAGGACAAAACAGTTTGTAAAACAGGAGTTTCAAATCCTCTTTTTTTTTTCTTCTTTTTAAAGGACTTGGGAGAATCGAAAAGCAATGAGCGTTTAGCCTTTTTTTTCCTTCCTTTGTTTGTTCGTTTTCCCCAGCTGGGATGCTGCGTGCTTTCGTTCCTCCCTTTTTTTGTGTAGGGCATTTTTATTTTTTTAAAAAAGGCATCTTGCACCACAACTTTTAAACTTAGGTTTAAAATCCTCACAGGGTGGGGGGCATAGAGTTGGAAGCCCTGAAAATCCAGAGATGGAAGGAAAGGATTTAGCTATATTTTTTTCCCACTTTTTAGAAAGTTCTTGATCCTTTTCCCCCCTTAAATCCCATTTTTCCAACTACAGAACGTAAGGGTAATATTATCATTATTCCATCTTCTAACATATGAATGCCCTTTGCTTTATTCCAGGCATAGAAACTACTTTTGGGGTTTTTTTTTTAATCTTTTCCTAAAGCAAAACTCTAAGCTTGGGCAAAGCAAGGCGGATTCCGGCTTTGAAACGTTGATTGATGGATCGTGTTAGCGAGCCGATGAATCATCCTAAATGTGGATTTTTAATCAAAAAAAAGTCTCAGGTCAATGAGTGCCTTCGCTATTTCACAGAAAGCTCAGGAAGAAGTCGGAAGAGGGGGGCAGAATTTCATTCTTTTGGCCTGAATAACAAGCCGAGAGAGGGGAGAAGCTATATGGAAGTGTATTGATATGGTTATTTTCTTCTCTCTCTTTTTTTTTTTAAACGCAAGACCTCAAGGTCAAACCACGTATAATTTGGGTTTGAATGATGGTTTCTCAGCTAGAAATAACCCAGGTTCTTCAGGACGGGTACTGTGTGAGCCGAGAGAATATATAAAATCCTATATTCTCACAAGAAAGGAACGGTGTGGGGGAGCTATTTTCTCTCTTCTCTCTTTCCCCAAACTGTACCTATCACTCCTACTTAGCTGAGGTTCCTTTGCTCTATAGCTGCCTTGATTTTCCTTTGCTGCAGAAACGAAAGGCACTCTGGACATGCTCAAGGACAACGCCTCGTCTTTGGACATGTAACTTATCTAACTCCTACTTTATATCAGGGCAAAGAGTCCGCCTCTCTACAGCTGCACTGATTCCCCCGCTCCCTTTTCTGTTTTTGCAAAAAGGAAAGGCACTCTGGACATGCTCAAGAATACCTCGTCTTTGGGCAGAAGTACCGTAAGAAGTCATCAACCACTGAGGCTCAGTCAGAGTCCCCTTTGCAGAAAATGCTGGAATGTATTTAAAAGGGGGAATTTGGCAAAACGTTCCTAGACTCAGCCAAAGGAATTTTAAGTACCACGTCGCTGGCGGCGTACAAAAAGATGAAATTAATCAACAAGAGAGGCTGTTTTGAGGTGCACCTTCTCTCCTTGGCCTGCAGACTCGACATGCAGCAGTTCATTCAGTGATCGTTCGAAGTTACAATGGTGGTGAAAAAAAATTACAACTGTTTTTCACACTTACAATTGTTGCAGCATCTATCTACCTACCTACCTACCTATCTTCTGTCTTCTACCTCTCTATCATATCTATATATATATTTCTATCTCTCCATCTCTCTAAATACATGGCAAGGGATAACATAGGGTAGACTGGACATTAACATTTGAACCTCCGTAAGTCCGTGTATTTGCTATACACTAAATAAATACATTTCTGTCTCTGTCTCTGTCTCTCTCTGTGTGTGTCTCTGTCTGTCTGTCTATCTATCTATCTATCTATCCATCTATCTTTCAACTATATTTCTATGTATCTATCGTCTATATATCTTCTACCTTTCTATCACATCTATCTATCTATCTATCTATCTATCTATCTATCTATCTATCTATCTATCTATCTA